ACATCTCTGATGTCAGGTACAAGGCAGATGGGTGTAGAAGTTTGGCAGGCCTTATTTGGCTGACAGTCTGGAGACTCCCCACCGTTGCCTTAGGCACAGCTTAGAGGCAGAAATAAAGATGTGTTAAATCTTGATAAAATTATAAAGGATCAAACTGAGGACTTAAAAGCACTGTATTGTCCCCTGTTCTTCCTGAGATTGGATCTGAATGAATTTTGCAAAGGAGCAAGCCAAGTCATACCTGTATTTGTGTGTGCTTTTAAAATGCATTTTGTTCAATCTTCTTTTGTGCTTTCTAAACAGAACCAAAACCAGTCTATGCACAGGCGGGTCAGCCAGATGTGGATTTACCCGTTAGTCCATCCGATGGCCCTCTTCCAAACTCAACCCATGAAGATGGAATGCTTCGGTAATGGAACTCTTGCTTTTCCTTGTCTTTCACCAGACAAGGGCAATGTCAGCATGGGCAATGTCAGTTGTGTATCTGCCCCCTGACGGATCCGCCTGGTGGGGGGATCTGTGGTTCTGCAGATAGCCTTGGATTCCAGCTCCTGCTAGTTCCACACAGCATGCCCAGTGGTGAGGAGTGATAGAAGTTGTGGTCCAGCAAAATATGGAGGGCCACAGGCTCACCTAGCACAGTGTTTCTCAAACTTGGGTTCCCAGCTGTTTTTGGACTACAACTCCCATCATCCCTAGCTAGCAGACGCAGGGATCAGGGGTGATGGGAGTCCAACAGCACCTGGCCTAGTGGCTGCAGTTTGCTGAGCCAGTGTCTTCAACCTACAGTTTCATCAGGAAGTTTTTGTGCTTCCAATACTGGAGGACCCCCTTCCCCCCAGTTAGCTTAGCTACAGTTGCCATGATTTCCTTTAATGGTCACTCCACGCATTATGTAGAAGCAAGGCTGGTTCTTCCACTAAATCACACTCTGTAGGAAGCTGAAATCCATCCTGGCTTTATTGAGCATACCTGTATAATGCAAGTGTTTTATCTTGTTCACATTGCATGCTATGTATCCAAAACATAAATGTGTACAGAGGACCTATGCACTTCTGACAAACCCTCCCTTGCTCACTAAACCATCACTCAATGATGGTGTCAAAGGCAGGTCAGTGAGCAAGCTGTTAACATGCAAGTGAAGCAAACCTAAGATGGAGAAGGATCACGGCTCTGTGGCAGAGCACCAGCTTTGCATGCAGAAGGTCCCACGTTCAATCCCCAGCATCGTCAGATAGGCCTAGGAACGTCCTCTGTCTGAAACCCGAGAGAAGCATTCGCAGGCACTGTGCACAGTAGGATGGACCAAGAGTCTCACTTTGCTTAAGGCAGCTTCCTATGTTCCTCTTGGGAGAAATAGAAGTAAAATGGCTGTTCTTTTTCCACACCACATTTTAAGCACCCATTGTTGGCCCAGGATCCTGATTTAAGGAGGCAGCTGGCATTCAGTGGAGAGGGTTGGGCAAGACCAGATTCCCAGGTACTCTAGAACAAAACAGCTCCCACATTCCTAGTAAGTAATCATGAGCTGTCTTTTAAAATAGCATAATCTGTGGCCTATTTCCATTTTGCACCTGGAAAGTTACACGGCCTAATTTTATAACTGCCTGAAACAGGTGCAAACATAAAGGATGCCTGAAAATGGGTGGTGCTAGGATAGAAGGGCTTTTGACAGCATTTCAGAGTACATAAAGAAACTGGAAATGTAAAGGTTTTGTGGTGAGGGATGGGCTGGCAAGAGACAGTTATTAAACAATATTTCCTAATCCGTGCAGGCCAAGCATGAAGCTTGTGAAATTCAAAAAAGGAGACAGTGTGGGCTTGCGGCTGGCTGGTGGCAATGATGTCGGGATATTCGTAGCTGGTGTTCTAGAGGATAGCCCTGCTGCCAAAGAAGGCTTGGAAGAAGGAGATCAGATTCTCAGGGTAGGTGGCAATCTTGAATATTAAGGTGATGATGATGATGTAGATTTATATAGCACGCCATCAATAAACATTCCCTGGGTGTCTTGCAGGAAAATAGTAACAAAGTAACAAACTAAGAATAAAAAACAATAAAAAAATAATCCTTGCATGGAGGTAGCACACAATTTCTAAAACTAGGTTTCTGAAACGTAAAGGTAAAGGACCCCTGGACAGTTAAGTCCAGTCAAAGGCAGCTATGGGATGTGGTGCTTCAGGCTGAGGGAGCCGGCGTTTGTCCACAGACAGTTTTCCAGGATATGCGGTCAGCATGACTAAACTGCTTCTGGCATAGCAGTTTAAATCAAAAGTTCTTCACCTAGTGCCAAAATACCCCAAAGAAGGTACCAGGCAGGCCTTTCTAGGGAATATGCCACTACCAAAAAGGTACCCAGAGCAGGGCGTTCAAAGATGGTCTTAAGGTTTGGCTGTGGAGAGTTCTCAACATGATTTGCTTAGGAGAAAGAGACTATAAAGTTCATGGCACATGTGCTACGAGATACAAACATAGTAATGCAACTAGAGAGAATGTCTAGATGCACACTTGGGTTCTGTCAACTGCGTAGTAACTTTTTGAACTGTTGCTTTGCACCAGGTAAATAACGTAGACTTCACAAATATCATCAGAGAGGAAGCAGTACTGTTTCTGCTTGACCTCCCTAAAGGGGAAGAGGTAACAATTTTGGCACAGAAGAAAAAGGATGGTAAGTAACTGCCTTTTAATGAAAGGACAAAAACTATTTTGATAGACTCTCTTGGATAATAATCAAAAGAGAGCTGTCCCCAACACCGTGGATTGGCAGCAGTGGGGCTTCCTTATCCAGGTCACTTCTTTTAAAGGCTACAGTATCTGCAATCTAATACTCTTGTCTGAGTCATTGGCATTAATTAGTCCAAGGTAGTAGGCAGCAGCAAAACAGAACCAAGCTGCAACATTCCTTGCCTATACCAGGTGTGTGTGTGCGCACTTCAGGCTTGTGGGATCTGCTTTGTGTGAATGGAAAATGGTACGAGGTAGAGCCCATTACTTAATAAACCCCATGATGCACTTGGCAGACCTGAACGTTTAAGTATAATCTACACCAGAGTTCCTTCAAAATGGGGACTCTAGCTTTCTGATTTTGCACTGGAGTATTTCTGATCCTTATTTGTGGTGTATTTTGTATTTTGTTTTATAACTTCATTATTAATTTTATGCTGTTCAACACATCATTTTTTCTTAATGCTAATGGTATAGACATTTTTGCAAATAAATAAAATTCAGTCCTGTCAGCTTATTCCTGTAGCTTAATGAATTGGTACATTGCAACACACCAGAGAAATTAGCTTTGTTGTGCTCCCAATTCAGTGCGCCTGGCATTGAAGTGTCTCAAGAGTTCCAAGCATGTTTACTTGGGATCTTTGTTCATCCCTGACCACGGGTACATGCTGGTACTGCAATACAAATGAGTTCTCGAGTACATTCTGATAGTGCTGAAAACCATCATGCCTTTTGCCATTTTCAGGTTTTTTAACCATCTGCAGTAGGGATGGGGATCCTGTGGCTCTCCAGATATTGTTGGACTCCCGTCAGCCTTGGACAGCATGACCAGTGGTCAAGGATTATGGGAAATGTAGGCTAGCAACAACTTGGGGAACCACAGGTTCACCACTCTGACCTACAGAATTCAGCTTATTCTCAAATCAATAATAATTTTGATTCAATAATAGTTTTCTGTAAGTGCTAGAAAGCATTAAGTTTGTGCTTTTATTCCATTCTTGCAGTTTATCGGCGCATTGTGGAGTCAGATGTAGGAGATTCATTTTATATAAGAACTCATTTTGAATACGAGAAGGAATCTCCCTACGGGCTTAGCTTCAACAAAGGAGAGGTGTTTCGAGTGGTGGATACATTATACAATGGCAAGCTTGGATCCTGGCTGGCTATTCGGATTGGCAAAAATCACAAAGAGGTGGAAAGAGGCATTATACCCAACAAAAACAGGTATTTCAGAATAGCTCTTGGAGAAGCGTTTATTTGGCTGAACGGCTAAGCTTTTGTAAACCTGCATTGTGCTGAACTTCTTGGATGGAATTGCTGAAACTTCAGACTAGTTAATTTAAGAGTTTTGCTTTAGAACATCAATTTGCAAACTTCAAGCTCCCAGAGCTGCAATTCAGAGTACATATGCAAGGTACAGATTTGCCCTTAATAAGCATAACTGTATTTTGAATGTGTGAAGATGAAGCATTGGAGATGCATGCAGCTCTTTCAACCTATAGGGCAAACAGCAGAATCTTTTTTGGATTTAACCATTTTGCTTTGCCTGGAACCAAAGTTGGCATGTGAATTGGCACATGCACAGAAAAGCCTTGGAAACTCGGGTCTAGGAGCTAAGTGAGGCTGCTGTTTCCCCCCAGTCTCAGTGTTCATTGTCATTGTTTCTTCCACACAGAGCTGAGCAGCTGGCTAGCGTGCAGTACACCCTTCCAAAGACAGCTGGCGGGGACCGTGCAGATTTCTGGAGGTTTCGGGGCCTACGTAGCTCGAAAAGAAACCTCAGGAAAAGCAGAGAGGACCTTTCTGCCCAGCCAGTTCAGACCAAGTTTCCTGCATATGAGAGAGTTGTTCTTCGAGAAGGTGGGGGTTCAAAGGAAATGGAAATGTTACTGTGATTAACATTGTTCAGGGTTTGTGTTTGGAAGGAGGGGAAAGGAAATGGCTTGGCATATAGAACGTTAACATAAGGGAGAAGGAGCAGTTGGAGAGAGCATGAAGAGATGGTGATGGTGATGGTGATGGTGATGGTGATGATGATGATGATGATGATGATGATTACAACTGCAGTTCTAAAGAGCCTGAAAGTTTCTAAGCAGTGTACACACATTAAAAGATAAGTTTCTACCTACAAGACTCTTAATCTAATGGACATGATACAAAAGGAAAAGGGAGTTTGGAGGGAATATGAAAGCAAGCATTAGAGCTGCTGTTCCCTCCTTAGCCAACAGCTGGGGTTGTTTGCCAGACAGAAGTGAAAAGTTGGAAGATGTGGACAATAGAAGGGATTAGTTGTGTAGGAGTGGGTTTAGAGTATTTCCACTAACTGATTGCATTCATCCCAGACCTCAGCTTGCTCAAGTAAACACTTTTATTCCCTAGGCCAGTCCCCAACCTAACTAATGCCTGTGATGTTTCCTTTCCAATCTTCCAAAGAAATGGCTTGCCCTTCTGATGTTTTTGTTTCAACCCATTGTTTCAAACTCCTAACCCAGAAGGGCAAACCTTCTTTCTCCTGTTCTGTGACACTGCCTTGCATCTTTTCCCTATAAAAGTGTACTGTAAAGGTTTGGTGGTTCATACCTCAGTAATGGACAAATTCCCCTTGGCTCTATAATGGAACCAGCTCTGATTGTGTGATCCTTCTTTGGTAAGCTCTGAGAGAAAAGCTTGCCTGATTTCCCCACCACCTAATTCTCTTCAGGTCATAGCGTTGGCATATGTGTGCTGACAGTGTAACACCTGGGTGCCTTGTTATATTGCCCTTGCGGGGAATGGTTGATTGGTTTCACCTGCCCCAGTAGCAGCCATGGCAGGAATTCAAGCACATGCATGCCCTGAGCAAACTCTGCTGAGGCCAAGAGAGGGCTTTAGGTTGAAAAGTGGGGAAACAGCCTCCTAACGCCCTTGCAAGAAACAGTCAGGATAATTGGCTGACCCAGGTAGAGGGGACACTTTCCAAACAAAAGGCTGCTTGGTTGGGTGGACTTGGTCACATAAGATTACAGTAATCAACTAGAGCTTGTTTCATCATTAATTGGCACTTAACATTAAATAACTTTGGTGCCTACTAAACAGCAGCTGACTTCTAGCACTTCTTCTGCCAGCTAGTGTTTTTTGTAAAAGTAAACATCTTTAAATGTCAGAACTTGTAGCACACTAAGATTGACATTACTGTCAGTTGTTGTTGTTGTTGTTGTTGTTGTTGTTGTTGTTATTTAAAAGATGACTGACTACTCCCAATACTCCCCTGCCGTGAATCTGTTATTGCCCCCCCCCCCGATCTCCCTAGTATGTGCCTTTTGAAAGAAAAAAAATTGTCCAGACCCACTTTTGTGTTTCCGCCACACCCACTTTGCCATGTGTCCATGCAGGTTTAGCCATGGCTCAGTGCAGCCCTTGGCATGAAATACAGCCATCCTCACTCAAAGCCATCAAAGAATGTCTTGGTAGTTTTTTTGGTTTTTGTTTAAAGAAGACTTACTATGATTTCCCTTTAATTCCAGCTGGATTTCTCAGGCCTGTAACAATCTTTGGACCAATTGCAGATGTTGCACGGGAGAAACTGGCAAGAGAAGAACCAGATATTTATCAGATTGCAAGTAAGCACCTTGCCTGTCTTCTACGTCCTGTTTTCCCAGCTAAACCCCCTCCTGCTTACAGGTGCAGACCAAAGTTTTAAAACAATTCCTGGGATTAGAGAGGATTGATTTGTTTACCTGTTTACCACTTATATGCCAAAATGGCTTCTAAGCCATTAATTACTTTAAAATCAATACATAATGAAAATAAGCAGTAGCAAATCCATGGGGGAATTAAAGCATTCTTAATTAAAATATACAATAAAGCCATTTAAAAGCATAACTATTGGAACAGTTAAAAAAACCTTTTAAAATAAAATCACAAGGTCAGTTCAGGACAGTGCTTGCTTAAACAGGTGTGTCTTCAGGAGCCGGTGGAATGCCAATGCTGATGGGGCCCCTCATATTTCAGCACGGAGGGCATTATGCAATCCTGGTGGCACATTGTATATGAGGAGACAATGACTTGAGAGCATAGATGAGAAGTTTGCGCTCTCTTATGCCAATATTTAAATGGTGATGAAACACCCAGGCAGGTTAAATGAGGTCTCTGTATTATCAGTGGCTTCCTCATTTATGTGGCAGAAAAGACTTTTAAAATATAACACACATGAATATCTAGATGTTGTAAATGCTCTGACATTGGAAACAACGCTGCTTTATTGTGTCAGACCATTCACAGTCTTGCCTGCTGCTGACTACCAGAGAACCAACAGCTCTGCAGATGTTACTGGACTTCAACTCCCATCATCCCAGGCCATTTGTCATGTGGACTGGGGTTGATGGGAGATGGAGTCCAAAAGTGTCAAGAGAGGCATAGCTCCCCACACCTGGTCTACTGTAACCAACAGCACCAGGTTCTCTGACAGAGGTGTTTCCCCATACCTGTTCCTTTTTAAGTGCTGGTGCTGGGAAAAGAACACAGGGCCTTCTGCACACAAAGCATGTGTTCCACCACCAAGCTGTTAATCAGCAGCTCAAGCTGTCTCTGCAAGAAGATGTGTGGTTCAGAGTAAAGCTGGTGTGTTTCCCATAGTTTTCTTGCACATTCAGCTAGACCTGGGAGATATATCATCATATTGCCCAGGACCAGTATGAGGAACAGACCGTGATGTCGGCTTCTCTCAGTGCTATATTGCTGGTGAATCCGCCACCGCTCCTGAGTCCCTCTACTAGCAGAGGCTGCTGGAGGGAGTCAATAGAGGGACTCGAGCAGTGGTGGTTGCACCAGCGATATATCACTGAGAGAAGCTGACATCCCACTTTGCCCTCATACTGCGCGGAGGGAGAAAAAAGCTGTATTGGTGAGGCGCCGATACAGCTTGTTCCTCCCTCTGTGTCTTTAAACTGCTCGATTGAGGAGTGTGCAGCTGCCCTTGCCTCAGTCAAGCAGTTAAAGCTGGCGGTGGGGGGGAGCTCCGTGAAACTGCTCAGCTGAGGGGAGTGTGGTTGCTGCTCCCTGCAGTGAGCAGGTAAAGGAGCCCCGGTGCTGCCCCCGTTCATGGGTTCCCTCCCCCCAGCTGAGCAGCCCAAAGCAGCCCCAGTGCTCCTGCTGAGCAACAAGAGCACCAGGACTGTCTCAGCTGGGGGGGGCAGTCCCTCCTCCCAGCTGAGCGGCACAAACAAGCTGCATTCTCCCATGAGCCTTGGTGAAACTGCCTCAGCTCTTGAGGTGAGAGCTGGGGCAGTTTTACCCAGTGTCCTGCGGGCAGAGGCCACTGAATCTTGTTTTTTCAACATTGCGGTATATCGCCAAACCATGATGTTTGGCTGGCAATACACCCTGATGTTGAAAAGCTGATATTGCCCAGCCCTATGCTAAGCACCCCAGAATGCATAAGCAATACTGTTCTGCCCTTACCATGAAAGAAGTGACTTTGGAAAATGATGTTTGAAAACGAGGGAGAAGATTTTCAAAGAATAAATGTGATAATCTTGTTTCAGTCAGTAAAAATGTTCCATGTAACTGACCCACAGCTGTTGATTAACTGTTTTCTCTTTAACAGAAAGTGAACCAAGGGATGCTGGTACAGACCAGCGTAGTTCGGGCATTATTCGTCTGCACACAATCAAACAGATAATTGACAGAGTAAGTGAGTAAATGCTCATTTGTATGTTTCTTGTGGGTCAACAGGTATTGTAGTGCCTTTCATGCAGGGACACAGAAGATGATAAAACCATTTTAAGGAACACATTAGCCACCAATTACTGAAAGTATGGGAAATGCAAGACATGGTATGGCAAGGTGTAATTTAGACATTGCTGCTGCAGTGTGAAAGCTGTGTCTCTGTGGTTTCACCCATGAAGATGCTAGGATGAAATGCCACACACAGCCATGTGGTGGGGATTCCTTGCCAAGTGCCCATCTCCCCAGATCCTGGCAAGAATTGCGTGGCCAGGTCCTGTGCAATTGTCCTGCCCCCTCCCCCAGCCTGGTGCCCTCCCGGTGTGTTGGACCACAGTTCCCACCAGCCTCCTCTTTCCACACCCTGGACCTCCCAGTTTGCTACAGCAACCCCTGGCTGAGCTTTGGATTTGGCACCTCAGCTTCCCGCTTGCTTGCTTCCTTTTTGGTGTTCTCTGACCTTCATATGAGGTTCAAATGTAGTTCTTTGTAAATTTCAAAGAAAAATGCCAGTGGTCTCCTTCCAGGTTCAGCAAATGGTATCCTTCCAAAGTGCTTTTTACTCATGTGTGCTTGCATGTTCATTGACTAGCTAATCCTCTCTGCAGAAAGAACAAAACTGCCACTTGTGCTAAATGTTAAAGAAAACCCCTCTTCTGTCCACTTGCTAAATATGCAGGATAAGCGTGGTATAGATTTTTGAGGACCTACAACACTAAATCCTTGACCTGCTTAATAAATTATGCTTCAGATAGAATTGAATTTCACACAGCAATCTGGAAAAAAGTAACCCGCATCTTAGTGTTTGTCTTAGAGAACTCTAAATTTTAAATATCTATAATGATGGTTAGGCTCAAACAAGAATCATAGAATCATAGAGTTGGAAGAGACCACAAGGGCCATTGAGTCCAACCCCCTGCCAAGCAGGAAACACCATCAGAGCACTCCTGACATATGGTTGTCAAGCCTCTGCTTAAAGACCTCCAAAGAAGGAGACTCCACCACACTCCTTGGCAGCAAATTCCACTGTCGAACAGCTCTTACTGTCAGGAAGTTCTTACTGTCAGGAAGTTCTTACTGTCAGGAAGAAGATGGACTCAAAGCTTAAAATCATTCTGCTGTTTTATTGTTCTGTTCAACCTTTCTCAAAAATCCTTACATTTTCAGACCTCCCATATCTGCCTTTGTATTCTCTGTTGACTGCAGAATTAATCTTCAAGGTGTCCAGCTTCACTCTTCCCCCTGCCTCCCCTTTCCTGGTAATTGACTCTTCTACCTGCCTCTGGTTTTTCTGCTCTTGAATACAGCTGCAGATGTGAAAATAGTTTAAAATAATTGATTTTTGTGGAATCTGTTAGATTAAAGATGGCAAGTTTGAAACCTAATGATGCGCACTTTTAGGAGGCTTTAGAGAACAGGTCAAGAGGCCTTGTTTTCCTGGGTTGTCTGACGGCTTTGTTCAATCTTTTCTGTTTCTCAGGACAAGCACGCCTTATTAGATGTCACTCCAAATGCAGTGGACCGTCTGAATTACGCACAGTGGTATCCCATTGTGGTGTTCTTGAACCCTGATTCAAAGCAGGGCGTAAAAACTATGAGGATGAGGCTCTGTCCAGAATCCCGGAAAAGTGCCAGAAAGTTATATGAGAGGGCCCACAAGCTACGGAAAAACAACCACCACCTCTTCACAGGTGAGGGCACCAGGACGGAGAAGAAGGCTGAGGAGGGAATGGGGAGGGAATGAATGAAACAATGCATTATTTTTTCTTTCACTATGTACTTACAACAAAATTTAATAGGGGATTGGACAAATTCATGGAGGGTAATGGATACTAGCCATGATGGCTGTATTCTGTCCCGACAGCCGGAGGCTGTAATGCTTCTGTTTACAGTGGTACCTTGGGTTACAAACGCTTCGGGTTACATGTTTTCAGGTTGCAGACCACGGGAAACCCGGAAGTACCGGAAAGGGTTACTTCCAGGTTTCGCCGCATGTGCAGAAGCACTAAATCGCATCACATGCGTGCGCAGACGCAGCGCTGCAGGTTACGAACACAGCGGGTTGCGGACGTGCCTCCGTCACGGATTACATCCGCAACCCGAAGTTCCACTGTACAAGTTGTTGGAAGCCACAGGAGAGGGAAGTGCTCTTGTCTTCAGGTTCTGCGTGCCAATGGCCTGTCTAATCCAGCACCATCCTCTTACAGTGGCCAACTAGATGCCCATAGGAAGCCTGCAAGCTGGACTTGAGCACAAAAGCACTCGGCCCACTTGCAGTTCCCAGCAGCTGGTATTCAAAGACATTACTGCCCCAGATACAGTGCCATTTTCCATAGTTTTGGCGTTGTTTTGACAAAACCTCATTCAAACTCTGTATTCTTATTTTTAGCTACTATTAACTTGAATTCAATGAACGATGGCTGGTATGGAGCTCTTAAGGAAGCGATTCAGCAGCAGCAGAATCAGCTGGTGTGGGTTTCAGAAGGAAAGGTATGGAATCTATTTTTGGTTTTGTTTTCTAAGCTGTTGCAGTGTAGTGGTGACATTTAAATGGACCTGTCTGCCTTTTCATTTGGGGTTGATAATTTTGAATAAGTTATGGGAAGGTTTGTATTGGAATAATATGGGCAATATCTTATTCTCAGCTACATCTTCGGCATGGATTCATGAATTTCTTCTAGTGAGGCATCTCAAAGCAATTTATAGTGTAATAAAACATGTATTAAAGCAATTGCAGATACAGAAGCAATCTAAATACAAAAAACTTCATATAAAACAATTTTTAAAACCCAACAATAATTACATGCATAAAATCAGTTTCAAATCCAATGCAGATACAAACCTGAATAACATTATCCACTTAGAAGGCTTCTTGAAAGAGGAAATTATTCAAGCCTGTTGGTGCCTCTCTTGTGTGTGGATGACGCCATTTTGGCTACCTAAGGACTGGCACTTCCTCTGAACCTTAGAAAAAGAAGCAAATGATGTTTGCAGATTCCTACAATTCAGCTTTTGCAAGTGGTTGAATTATGCCTTCTCAGAGAGGCAAGAGTAGATACCGGTAATTGAGGGGCAAGGGATAGCCTCTGTGAAGGGGACCCCTGGGAGAGTGCAGGATGTGTCTGTGCTGATCTCCATTGATCCCCTTGCAGCTCCTTGCTCTGTACAAACCCTTTTCTACCCCAAATGTTTGTCCTAGTATGGCGTAGCCTCCACTGCAGCATAGAATCCCTAAACTGCCTACATGCTTACCCTGTGCCTTTCTAGTGCTGACAGGCATTTCACTAGTTTCTGTGTATTATGTAAGACTTTCTTCTTTTCTTTTCTTTTTTTGGGTGACTGTTAATATATATTGAACTGACATTTTCAGGGCAGCAATTCATTGCAATGCAAAGATCTGTCATGAGAAGTAATAGCTAATTTGCAATCCAATTGCTTCGAGTATAGCTGGGGTGATTTGTCATTCCAGTATTGGTTTACTTTTAATTTCATTCCCTGTGTTAGGACTACTTTGGGGGTTTTGAGTTCAGACAGTGTGTTGACCCTGCAAAATAAGGGACACAAACAAAGTAAACTTGAGCAACACGTAATCCTTAGCATTCTAAGTGTTTTTGAACTCTGAGCTTTACAAGGAAAGGTGCTGAGAACTAGCATTGAGAGCCAGCCTTGTTGTGTCCAGGGTGATGGATGACGCTTGCATCTTTTGTTGTTCAGAGCAAAGGAAAGGAAGAAAAGAGAAGAATAAGCTTTAATTAGATTACGCATGCTTAAGTCTTGCCCAGAACAATGGCTCATTAATTACAACTGGCCAGGATCCCATTCCAGGCACGTGACACCTTGAGCAGGAGAGGTGAGGTGGAGGGTGGGACAGAGGAAAGCCAAGATGAGACTTAAGAGTTGGTGACTGTAACCACCAGTCTGGTAGCAGGCAGCAAGGACAGCAAATGTGGGTTCTCTGTTGCTTTCCATGGCAGCAGCTGATACTTGGGAACTGGCTGAGGGGATTCTAGGAATCTGGGATAGGGGAAACTTACCTCCTTGCTCTGCCTTCACTGCACCAGTGTACAGGATGGAGGAGGAGGTGTCAGGTGTCATTAGCGCCGCCCCCCCCCCCCCGTTACCTTTCCTTATCTGTGGCCCAAATCCTGTCAGCTGATATTTTAGATCATGGAAATATGTTCATAAAAAAACAAACCATAAGGCTACACATCCTGGTAGGATCATAGGGACTGCCTTGTGCTAAGGTCAAGCCACTCCTCCTCCTTGCTCAGCCTTGTCATCACTGACTGACAGCGGCAGCTCTCCAGGGATTCAGGCAGGTTTTCCTCAGCCCTTCTTGGAGGCACCAGGGATCGAGCCCAAGGCCTTTTGCATGTGAAGCCTGTGCACTGTACAGCTGAGCTGAGGTCCCTCCTTTGAAATCTCTTTCTCTAAGATTCAGGTGCAAGCGAATTAATCTTCATTCTGCACAGAAAGACATGGTGTTAGAATTTAGAACAGCAACTCTTCCTCCCCCCCCCCCCCCCGGCCATGTAAACACCCAACCCTCATGTGTTTGACACAGGCAGATGGTGCTACTAGCGACGACCTCGACCTCCACGATGATCGCCTGTCCTACCTGTCGGCTCCAGGCAGCGAGTACTCCATGTACAGCACAGACAGCAGACACACCTCCGACTACGAGGACACAGACACAGAAGGCGGGGCCTACACGGACCAAGAGCTGGACGAGACGCTCAACGACGATGTCGGGACTCCTCCTGAATCAGCCATTACGCGGTCCTCTGAACCCGTGAGAGAAGATACATCAGGGGTGCATCATGATAGTCAGGCATACGTTCCTTATGCTGCTGCTCAAGCTCAACCACAACCAAACCACCGGATAGAGTCTCCTGGGTTTAAAACAAGTGCTGCTCAACCGGTAAGGAAGAAATACTTGCCTGCAGGTTTTAAGCAATAAGATTACATACAAAGCCCAGCAATTTTCTCCCTTGGATGCGTAAAATGTGGTCCCAGTTGGTCTTCATAGCTTTTTGGTTTTTACTCTACCTTAGCCACTTACTTCTCCTCAGTCCGTTTGTTTGTTTGTTTGTTTGTTTGTTTGTGTGTGTGTGTGCACAAACTGCATTGAGTGTTTAGGAGCATTGCCTTCTAAATGGTGCATTGAATAGCTATCATTTTGTTTTGCAAGCCCTGTGGGTCTCTACCATTTGAACACTGGATTCACATAGTTGGCATTTCCGTTGTTGAGGGGGGGCACATGCTCTTCAGTTGCCTTTTTAAAAAGAAATAAATAAAAGGATCAGCACTTTTAAAGAACATGACTCCCATGCTGGCTTCATGGTACAAGAAAGTCTGGCAACTAGTATTAGCAGAGACGCTAACCCCAGAAATAAGAATAGCAAAGGAAATGAAAACAAGACACCTTTTCAGTAATCGGTACTGCAGGGAAATATTATAGAATTATTTGGCTGGTACGACTGTATAGTGCACACAATTTCACCACAGGATGGGAAGTATGATATTGCAAGATTCATGTCTCTGAGAATGGGTTCCTGTTGTTTCAGGTTGGTTGGCTGGTTGGTTTATTGGAGAATCATTTTTAAAAGAAAAGATAAAGAATAGTAATAAAATGATCAGCACTTTTAGAAGAACATGAGATTGTTTCCCACCTCTCCCCATCAAAAAGGAAATTATTTGGAAAAAGATGGAAATTCAGTTTAAAAATAACCATGGTGCCTGTTCAAGAGTTGGGCATGAGCACTCTAAAAAGGAATCCACTTTAGCCTTATATGAATTCCAAATGAATTTTATCTCCTAGCTAGAGGCCTCTAGAATGATTCAAAGGAGTAGACAACATGTGGTCGGACTCCAGAGAGGTGGTGGGACGCAGATGTCACGCACTTGCAGGTGGAGGCCACTGAAGTGGCTCAATTAAGGAATAAGAAATGGGCCCTTTGGACATGGTTGGACTGAACCTCCCATCAGGTCCAGTCAGCTTGGCAAGTGCTGGGGACTGATAGGAGTTGTGGAACTACAGATCTGGTTGGAGCACAAATTCCCCAGCCTTGACTTGAACAGTGATGAGAGTAACAAGGAGCAGCAGCAGCTTCTTCTCCTTGCCTTGCTTTCACCTTCTGGGGTGTGGCACGGATTGGGTCCAGAGGAAGTAAGCAAATGTGACAATGGCAAGTGGGACAGTGGTTCCCATTGTGATGATGGCAACAAGGAGGTGAGCACACTTGGAGAGAGGTGCCATGGATAACATCTTACCCAAGGGACCCCTAAAATTTTGAGCCAATGCTGTCATCTTTTGTCAATCTGCTGTTAATTTTACAAGATGCCCTGTTTTTCTCTCTGGCTAGCCAAATAGGATGTGGGTTATATAAACTTTGGTATAGTCGTGTACTCCAAAGAGGAGGTTTAGCTTTATGGAAGCAGCTGTCCCCAAAAATGTTTTTCCAGGTGTAGTTGGATTACACCCAGCACATCCCCTAGCCATTGACCATGCTGGCTTGGGCTGATGGGAGCTGGAGTTCAGCAACATCGAGGACCCTAAGGTCGTACTGAAGAACAGTTCAGTTCTGGTGTACAACTTGATTTTTTGCAATTAAATATGTTGGGTGGTTGTGGCTAATATGATTTTTGAATGGAAAATATGTCCGCTTTACCAAAAACTATATTTTAAACACTTCACAGAAAGCAGAAGCCTCACCTGCAGCCCCCTACCTTTCCCCGTCGCCAGAAACAAACCCTTCAGCCTCATCAACTTCTGCTGTTAAGCCCAGTCTAAGCCTCACTAATGTCAGGCTGGAGGAGCCTGGCATGGCTTCTTACAACTCCTACCAACCACAAGCTGGCCCCCTCAGAACGCCTGGCACTGAGGCACCTCACATAATGCTCAGAGAACAAGAGCCGCCGTCCTTATCGCCGCATATAGATCCAACAAAGGTACCTCCTGCCTGTGCTGTCACGTTGCACGGATTCACTCTGCACATGATCATTCTTGCTTTGCCCCCCCCCCTTGCTAAAGGTGCCCCTTTGTGATTCCCCTCCCTCTGAGCATTTGTGCAGCCTGAAAAGGAGCTTCTCTGCTGCTTCCTTTTAATAAAAATAAAAATCTAACTCTTGGTTTTGCTTTGTTGCATGAGTTCAAGTTGCCTTTCTCATTTCTGCTGGAAAATGAATGCATAAATCAGAAGATGTTGCAAGCCCACTTCATTCCAAAGCTTACTTTTACTTCATTTGTGTGTGGCTTAAACCTTCTCTTGTTCATTGCATTAGTTTCAGAGAAACATGGTTCTGTCTTCCAAATCTGCCTGTGTTTTGTTCTTTATGGCCTTCCTGTATACTAAATGGAAACTGTTCGGTTTTTTGCATTTTTATTGGCTGGATGTGTCAGGATAAGCCAAAGATCCTCAAACTGTTCCCAAAATGAGTAATTCAAGAATAAAGTCTCATCATAAGTGTGGACCCTGAGATGGGAATGGTGAACTGTGGCACCCAGATGTTGGGTGGGCAGGAAGTTGAACCAAGGCCCAAAGTCAAATGAATTGAAACAAAAAGTTGGGGGAAGCTTTGCAGACACCAGCAGCATTAATGAGTGCATTAAATTGGGGTGCTGGTGCCAAGGTTTGGACTGGATAGCATTTGGACTCCTGACCCTGTCCAGACTGAGAGGGGAGGAGAACCATTATCCCTCCAAGGGCAGCATCCCAGTGGGGGGGGGGCAGAGCCAGAGGTAAAAGTGGGCAGGGCAACAGATGACACTTTCGAGCCACACCTGAATGTCAAGTTTACACCTGTCCACCTCCGTCCAGGCAAGCCAGAGGCCTTCTCACAGTCAAAGGCTACATTGCAGCCAGGCAAAAGGGCACAGAGCAGGGATGGCGAGGTGTGTGACCTGGGCAGACTCCCAAGGGCCAGATAGAGGAACCTGGAGGACCACCTTCAGGTGGTCTTCCCCACCCCTGGGCTAGATTAATCAAATAGTCTTTGGGCAGCTAAGCTAATGCTGCTGATTAAATCGGGCAACTTCCTTTTGCTTATTTTTGCGAATACTTAGGCAGATTTTTACATGTACTTACCAAAGCCAAAACTTGCAAGCGGCTTCTTAAAATTCAATTCCTCCTCTGTATGGAAAAAGTGAAGGGGAATTGCCTCTTCCAAGGTTATGCATGTTGCAGCCCAGATGTTTGCTGCGTCTAAAAATGAAGTGTGCTTTTTTTTTTACTTAATCCATTAATTAAAGCTTGTGCAGTTAATCAGTTACGATTAGGGTGCTAGTTAAAACGGGTAAGCTGTGGTTGTAGGTTTCCTTCGACTTGTTAGTTCTTCATGGTCTCAGTTGCTCGTGCACCTGAAGCAAACCACTCTCTTTCTACAGATGTACAGGAAGGACCCATTCAGCAATGAGGAAGCCCCTCGGCCGAACTATGTCTTGAAGCAGCCAGCCCAGAGGCAGGAGAAGGACTCCAATCTGACCTATGACCCTCAGGCCCAGTACACAGAGAAGCAAGCTAGCAGAGATTATGAGTCACTGGCCTACAGGTATGACTCATCAAACTACGTAGACCAGTTTCCTCGTGGCTACGACCCTCGTCTTCATTACGAGGAGCGTGTCCCTCCCTATGATGACCATTGGACCTATTACGATGAGAACCAGCCCTATCAGCCCCGGCCACCTTACAGCAACCAGCCTCCCAGAGAGTTTGATCCCCGGCAGAACATAGAAGAGAGCACAGAACACAGCTGCTACTTTCCAGCACAACCTCGCTTTGAAGAGCCGCCTCCCCTGGCTTACGACAACAGGCCCCGCTATGAGCATGCAGCTAAAAACTTCAACGCCACTCAGCTGAGGTATGAAGAGCAACCCACTGCTGCGTATGAGGTTCACGGAAGATACAAAACAGAGACTCAAGCCTTCCCCCCAGCAGTGCCCAGATCCCCTGAGCCCAAGCATTACTTTGAGCCCCAGCCCAGAGGCTTTGAGCAAGGCCCCCCGCAAGGGTTCAGCGCAAAAGTGGGACAGTACGAGCCTCCTCACAGCACTGCGGGTGCACACCCTCCCCTCCCATTGCAAAGTAAACCAGAAGTTCTGCCTGCCAACAGTAAACCACTGCCTACCGAACCAGCTGAGGAAGAAGATGACCCAGCCATGAAGCCGCAATCAGTGCTGACAAGGGTTAAAATGTTTGAAAACAAAAGATCGTCATCACTGGAAAAAATTAAGGACTCCAATGATGTTCCAGTAGTCAAGGTAAATGCTCAGTGGGCTTGTTTTAGCAACTGTTGTCAATCCTCTGTGGTCCTTGCACAAGACTTAGTTGGCATGAGCTGAATCTTTAATGGAGATGGGGCACTTACCTCATGGATGAAGGATTCCTCCTTCTCCAGATCTGTCAATTTCACAGTCTTGGGGCCTTCTGGGACCTGGTGTTACCCTTTTCCTGGGACACTGAATGGTTGTGGTCCACAGTTAGGACATTGTGGGGTTACTTTAATAGACTGCACACTCACTTTGAAGCACTTTAGCCACACCTAACCTTTAGGAACTGATGGATACCAGGAAATGAATGGTGTTGCTGCCATGATGCTTTTACCAAGTGAGAATGGTCCATCATTCTAGCCTATCACTTCTCTATTGTGGGTGGCGTTGACTAGGTTCTCAGACAGACGTCTTTGCTGTCACCTGCTCCCTGATGCTTTTAGCAGGAGTATAGGCTGGCATCAGCAGCTGGTGTGGTTGGGAATCTGCTGAGGGCCCACAACCCAGCAAGGGGCCCACTGGCAATTCCACCTGCTGGCACACATTCCTTTCGTGCTGGACCAGCAGCCGTGTATCGGAAGCTGCCTTCTTAGGTGTGTTCACGGTAGATCATCAGCGATAGTTTTCTGCGATAAACAAACAAGGCCACTGTAGTGTGTGATCTAGAAATGGGATCAATAATCCATTTTCAGCTTTAATGACTTTTTTTAACCTATTTGAAGAATGTCAACACTGCGCTGCTACCACAAAAGTTCCCAGAGCAATAACTCTGGCCTAATTTACATAATTCTTGTGAGAATTACAGAGGTCTAATGTGTGGCAGTGATGACAAAGGCAATTTCCATGCTGAAGATTATTAGGAAAGGAACTGAAAATAAAACTGTCAGTAGCATAATGTCAAGTAGCAAGTAAAATATGACAGCATAGAAGTTTGTAAAATTGTGGATGGCATGGAGAAAGTGGACAGATTCCCCCCCCCCTCATAACATTAGAACTCGTCCACAAATGTTGGAAGATTCAGGACTGATGAAGGAAAACACCTTTTCACATAGCGCATAGTTAAACTATGGAACTTGCTCCCACAGCAGGCAGTGATAGTGACCAACCTAGAGGATTAGAGAAATTCATGGAGCAGAGGGCTATCAGAAGCTGCTAGCCGTGATGCCTATGCCCCGCGGCCACAGCTGGAGGCAGCAGCGCTTCTGAATGCCGGTTCTTGGAAACGGCAGGAGCCCGGGGGGGGGGGGGGGCTTCTGCACTCAGGTCCTGTCTGCAGGTTCCCCACAGGCACCTGGCTGGCCATTGTGAGAACAGGATGATGCTGGACCAGATGGGCCTCCATTGGCCTGATCCAGCAGCCCATTCTTCAGTGCTAAAATCATTCCCACTGAATCCAGAATTTGCATTTTAAAGCAAACTGACCTAACTATCAGTTTCCAGGCTTCTATGCAAATCAGAACACAGTTAATAATCAGACTGCACACATCTCTGAATTAAAAAATGAGGAAATGCATGAAAATGTGTGTTTTCTGAGAAAAGTACAAAATGTGTACAATTTAAATGCATGTGTGTGTGTGTGTGTGTGAAAAATTGCCACAGAATGCAGGAACAGACTCAAGTGTATGAAAGAAGCATGGAATGGAAATGGACTGAACTCAGCATCAGTACCTTAAAATGGTTAAGCTTCAGCTGTGTCAAGCTCCTTTTTATATGAATCCAGCCTGAGGATGCCTTTTGTACATGATAGTACTAGAGTGTTAGCATTTTATCTTTTTTTTCCAGTTGTTCTAATTTGGTCTTTATGTGTGTGTGCTTTTCAGCAACCTCCAGAGCTTGCACCTAAACCTAATATCGCCCCAATGAGTGGTCCGAAAACAGTCTCCCAAAATCAATATGAGCATGAGAAGCCAGCTTACAGGTAAGCACAGAGATGCAGCTTTAAAATGGAGGGCTGTTCTCACAAGCCCACAAACGGCTTAGAGGCCTTTCTGGGCATTAGGTGGTGTAGAAAATGATATAAAATAGACTAATAAATGATGTGTGTGTCATCTAAAAAAAGAAGAAAATATGCTGTGGTATTCTGCACAAGACCATGACTATTCTGGGTTACTGAGCTCCCTCTCAGGTCAGAGGGCGGGGCTTGGGGCTGCTCCAGGTCTCTCTGCCCTTGGACCTCAGAGCTCCAGTTCATCATAAGGAGGGTTGGGGACTGCCCAGCCCTGCAAACCAGCTAGCTGTTCCTGGAGTCTTCTTTCTTCTCCAGCTGCTACATAACTTCAATCTTCTGCTGTCCTGTAAGTCATCCCATCTCTCTCTCTCTCTCTCTCTCTCTCTCCCTCTCCCTCTCCCTCCCCTCCCCCCAGTCTCTCTCTCACACACTACCTCCTCTAGCGTTTTCTAGTGCTTATAAAGTGGAAGCAGACCTTCCCTGCTTGCACACACACAGCCCTGTTTTCCTTCCCCACTCTCCTCCAGTCCACCCGGGCATTGCCAGGGAGCCAAACTGTATCATTGTCTCTCCTGGGCTCAGTGCAAATGCCCCTCCCCTCTTTAGAGCCATTGTGCCCCCTCTCATGAAGATGTGTGCAGATTTAATCAGTCTGTTCATTGGCTTAAGTACACTTCAACTGAGGCGTCTTCAATTAGGTGCCGGCCCAATTTTTAACTTTGTATAGAATCCACATCTGTTAGTAGCAGCTCAGTTTACACCAGTGTTTCCCAAACCCTTTCAGGCCACTGTCACCTTGGTGCCATGAACTCATCCCCAGTGCACCCCCCCCCCAATAAAAAGTATCGTTCAGAATAGTGGTTTGCATAAACCACTTGGATGGCATCCTTCTGTCTCGGGAGACCATGGTGGAGTGCATCTTCAGGTAGGAAGTCAAACCATTGGAGAGTTACAGCGCCTGCTGTGGCTGGATGGAGAGACTGATCTGGGAGAGACATATTTACTACAGGTGGGGTAGATGAAGGCGTCCGCTTGTGCTGAGCACTGTCAAGAACTGTACATGTGGGAAAACATGGTTGCTGACACAGCAGTTGACAGTGCCCAAACTGCCTGCCTTGGAAGAGTTGGATGTCCTTCCCTGCCATGACGAGCTGAAGAACGCCATCAGCTCCAAGCTGTGTGGTAAATCCCCAGGACAGGATGGAATCTCAACAGAAGCTCTGAAAATTGGCATCGATTCCTCCCTCATGACACACCTCCATGGCCTCCTCCTGCAGTGTTGGGAAGCAGGAGCCATGCCACAAGGCATGCACGACTCTGGCATTGTGACCTTCTACAAGAGCAAACTACTACTGTGGAATTTCCCTGTTGAGTACTGTAGGGAAAGCCTTTGCCCGTGTCATTCTCAGCAGATTACAGTCACTCACTGACAAGGCTTATTTTTAGAGCTCCAGGGTCAATAATCGACATCATTTGACTTCATAGACCTGACAAAGGCCTTTGACCTCGTCAGCTGTAAAGAACTCTTCACACTGCTCCACAAGATGATTGTGTCCTTTCACAAGAACCTGAGTGGCACCTTCCACCGTCCACAGTTCATCCTCAAATGCCTTCCCTATAAAAAGCAGCGTGAAACAGGGCTGTGATCTTTTTGCCCAAACTCTCTTTTCAGCATTATTCCCCCTCTTGCTCTCCTGTACCTTGATCCACTAAGGGTATAATAACACAATAAAATTCAAAACAGTAATTGCACATTTGTTCTAAATCCAATTAAAAACTAGTTTAATTAATTCAACAACATTAATGAACTTTAACCAGTGATACCAGCTTTTCAAAGTCTGAATATGATTTACACCTCCCAGTGCCCCCACCATTGCCTCTTGCCACCCCCTAGATAATCCCACTGCCTGCTTGGGGAATCACTGTTCTAGAACCTTCTTCCTTTTTAATGAGTGACAAAAATTTCCTAAGCATTTACTTTTTAAAATATTTCTGTTTAGGGCACCAGAACCACAAAGACCTCAAGCAAAGCCCCCTGAGGACATCGTTCGGGCAAACCACTACGACCCTGAGGAGGATGAGGAATACTATCGCAAGCAGCTCTCCTATTTCGACCGTCGGAGTTACGAAAACAAGCCTGCTGCACAGGTCCCTGCTGGCCACCTGCCTGAGCCTGCTAAACCAGGCCATCTCCATAATCAGCTGAATTACACAAACTACCCTTCAAAGTAAGCCTCCCCTCTTTTGCACTTCTGTTATCATTTCAAAGGTCCCCCCCTCTAATATCTGCAGATTCTAATAGAAATACTGTATAGCTTTGTTAACCCATCAGAGAGGAGGGTTTCCAGGGGATGGGGAGTTGCTCTCTTGGCAGGGCTGGGCGGGGGGGCAAATGTGGGATATAGACATATATAAATATGCTTATATGGGCATTTCTTTTCAAGTGAACACTGTGTATGGGTGTGGGTGTGTGCATGCGCACACTATTAAACATAAACCACAGAGCTAAGTCAGAAGCCAAAATGACAAGGCAGCTATTTGTTTCTTTTCAAATGAGCTTCTTTCAGAAATGGAAGACGGCAACATGAAGTTGGCCAAGTCTTTCCATCTATCATGCAAAAATGGGCCAGGTTCATTGCATCCTGAAGCATGGGTTCACCCCTTTCTTGGGGGTTCTAGGTTCAAATAAAGACTGGATCTAAATCATCAGTTAGCATTTGCATAAGGCTTTAGAGTGTTGGTGAAAGTGACTTTGCAGTTTTAACCTGGAGTCCAGGTTGCACCTTGCTTGTATGCCTTCCACCTGCCTTCACTCCCCCCCCCCATCTCACTGCTTCTTGCTTCCTTGTTCACCTTCCATGCTTCACTTTTTCTGTCATGGCGCCATCTGCTGCACTGGGAGCAGAACCACAAGCAATATCGTGCTCATTGTGCACAGTACTGCAGACAAGCTCAAAGCCACTATGGTGGTAAAGAGGGATGGTTGTGGGTCGCGGGAACGGGGACACAGCTGCCATTCCCCACTCCTGCTGGCTTTGAAGAGTTGCCCATCTTCCCCTGCTTCAGTTCCTGCTACATTTCCAGCTATTTCACTGACTGGAGAGCTACAAGTGCAATGGCACATGGTGATAGAATACATGGTGCCCCTGCAGCCAACCTTTAAATGTTCCTCCGTTTTAAAAGCATGCCTTGTTAACTAGAGATAACCATGTACTTGATCCTCTTCTTGTAGAAAGAAAGCTTCAGGAGAAGAGATTGTATCCCTCTAATGTTGGTCTGCTTATACCTGGGATAGAGCTGTTTTGGAGTGATGGGGCTGGTCTTGGTTGAAGCTGAAGGCAAACTTCAGTCTTGCACTCAAAGATACATAGGTGCATTTTTGTTAACCACTAACAGAAGAGCAGGCAGGCATCTCCTTCCACAGTTGCAGGATAGCTTACTTAACACAGCCGCCAAGATTTGTGCAGTTTGCCCCCCAGTTAGTCTGGTCCCATCCTGAGAACTATTCTCCTGGGCATTGATTGATTGATTGATTGATTGATTGATTGATTGATTGCCAACCCTTCACCCTAAGGTCCCAGGGCAAGTCACAACATTAAAAAACAATATTTTTTTAAAAAGAATTAAAACAACCCTCAGGCACAGAAATAAGGTTGGTTCTAAAAATATACTCCAAAAAATATACAAGTGTTAAAAGTGCAGAATAAAGAGGTATGTCTTCACAGCACCCACCAGAAATAAAATGAAGTGCCTGACGAGCCTCTGTGGGGAGGGAATTCCACAAGTTAGGGGCCACATGCTCTCTCCCAGGCCACCCCCCACACACACACCTCTGAGAACAGAGGAATGGCCAAGAGAGCCACTTTGCTGATTCCTGAACCCAGGAAGTTCTGTAGGGGAGGAGATCTTTCAGATATTTGAGGCCTGAGTCATTTAGGGCTTTAAACACTAACACAAGCGTCTTGATTTGGGCCCAGTGCAGCTGTTTTAAAATGGGTTATATGAGCTCTAAATGGAATAGTTGGCATTTTGGGCCAGCTAAAGTTTCTGAGTTGTCTTCAGGGGCTGCGTTGCAATGGAAGACATTGCAATAATTCAGTCTGGAAGTTACTGGGAACTGAGTACAGTGGCCGGGTCTTCTCTGCAATGGCAATGCTGCTTCTAGATGATGCTTCATGCACTTGTCAGCTGTAGCAAGAGGTGCAACAGAATATCATTGAATTGTACAGTTGGAAGGGATCCCAAGGGTCATCTAGTCCACCCTCCTGCAATGCAGGATTCTCAACTAAAGCATTCAGTGAAGGAGAGTGCACCACCTCCCAAGGATAGGGTTCCACCATCAAACTGCTTTTACTGTCAGAAAGTTCTTCCTATGCTTAGTTGGAATCTCCTTTCTTGAAACTTGAAACCCAGAAACTTTCTTGTAACTTGTGGTTCCCTGAACTGGACACAGTACTCCAGGTGTGGTCTGACCAGGGCAGAATAGAATGGTTCTATTACTTCCCTTGATCTGGACACTGGACTTCTGTGGATGCAGCCTAGAGTAGCATTAGCTTTTTTGGATGGTGCATCACAATGTTGACTCATGTTTAGTTTGTGGTCCACAAGTTTATACAGACTTTGAACAACAGTGGGCCCAGGACAGAGCCCTGCAGCACTCCACTTGTCATCCCCCCCCCCAAGATGACGAGGAACTTCTTTGGGTTCGGTCCGCCAACTAGCTGCAAATCCACCTAACAATCACCTCGTTCAACCCGCAAGAATATTATGGAAGACTTTGTCAAAAGTCTTACTGAAATCAAAATACACTGTCCACAACATTCCCCTGATCATCCAAGCTTCCATAAGAAAAAGAGAGATTCATCTGACATGACCTATTTTTCATCTTACATGACTTGTGTTGCTTCTCTCTGTCACCTTTGGAGGAAAGAGCAAATCTTTTCTTCTGTCATCACTTAGACATTCAACAGACCTGTACCTGAACAGATGGACAAAGAAGAGAAGAGTAACCTCTTCCTAGTGGTTTTATCTCTATCTTGGAAGAACAGAAGGAATTCAGGATTATGGTCGACTGATTGCCTTGCTTTAAGGCAGCAATGGGGAGCCTGTGGTCCTCCAGATGTTGCTGGACTAGAACGCCCACCCACCCAATTGCACAATTGGCTGTGCTAACTGGGGTTGATAGGAATTGTAGTCCAGCATCACGTGGAGGGACACAAGGTCAGCACCCCAGCCTTCCCATAGAAATTCACCCAGAAAAACTGTTCTCAAAAGTCTCTGTAAGGAATAGCCACAAACATCATTTGGAAGGCAAAGCAGCAACAGAGAACCCTGTAGCTGACTTATTTCTCTTTTCATCCCAACAGGGGGAAGCCAGTAGACGTGGAGCCTCTGGACAGGGCTGTTGGCGAAAAGCGCTACGAGCCAGTTCCTCAAGTGACAGCCCCTCCCCCTGCACCCCCCGGGCAGTACACCCAGCCGCAGCCTGTGAATAACCCCATTGTGTCTCTGCAGCCCAAGTCCACACTTGCGGAAGGTAGGAGAGGAGCCTCAAGGCTTGATTTATTGAAATGTTTGGGGAAACTTAGTTTACGAAGGGAACAATAATTCAGGTCATACGACGGCTACTAGACAGCCGTAGTTTAAGAAAACCCCAACAAACAAAGCACAACTAGGAAAAGCACCGCTAGTGTGTTCTGAGTCGACAGGGGTGGGGTGGGGGGCTCTCTGGTAAAATATGATGTGGCCATGTGTGATTTAAACTGGCTACATAGCCTTTGAGATTTAGCTGGCTACGAATGGCCTTGTTCTGATTTGATCTGAGTTTCCTATTCTCACGGCTGGTTTTATGGGGGGACAGCCAACGGTGGCTGCTCTTCAGAAGAACAGATCTGCTAGGGCAACAGCACGTCTTCTGCAGCTCCCCACGTATCCCCCAGATCAACTGTAGACAATCAAGGGATCCTGCCCCAAGCAGATTTGGAGTGGGTGTCCCTTGCAAGATGTTGGATGTTGCCAGTGCATTTCTCATGTTTGCTGTTTCTTTTGGGGAGGGGTTGCATTACTGTATGGAAGTTGTGTTAATGAATCTTTTACTGACTACTAGACACTTAAAAAAGAAAATGTTTAATAGTTTCCCTTTTCAAATATATAAGACTAAACAAAGGCTGAATAAATGCACAGCACCTCCAAATTTGTGGATAGTAAGAAGAATTCCTCTCATAAGTATTTTAAATTCTTTGCCTGGGCAATGAAAACTATGCCGACTGACATAATGCCTCTTGTGGAATAATTCTACAATTTTTACTACTCATGGTTTATTTGGGGCAGTCAGTGATTGGGGGGGGGGGGTTGCTGTCAGGCATAGGTGAAGAACTGAAGCCTTGCTCCTGACTACTAGACATCTGCAGTCAACCATGCTTCTAACTTTAGAGAACTGAGCAGGAACTATTCATATGCTTTTGAGTGCATAAGGACTAAAGACCTCTTTTTAGATGAAAGTTGAGATTCTTAAATGAATTGCGACCACCCAGTAACAGCTGCTTTTTCTTCTTTGTACACTCACAGAATGCAGCCGTGTCTGTGAAATATTTTGCAAACCTAAAAATGTTACCTTGGCATGCCATGTATTTAATTCTTTTAACATGTTTTGTTGCAGTCAACTCTGTGTCAGACTTTCAGAATTCCACCCTGTCCAAGCCCGAGCCGCCTCCGCCTCAGAACAAGCCAGCTGCTTTCCGGTCTGCCAGCCGAGAAGACACCGTGCAGTCCACTTACTACCCTCAGAAAAGTTTCCCTGACAAAGGCCCAGTGAATGGGACAGAGCAGATCCCAAAGACGGTCACCCCTGCTTATAATCGCTTCACAACAAAACCTTACACAAGTGCTGCCCGGCCGTTTGAACGCAAGTTTGAAAGCCCAAAGTTTAACCATAACCTCCTGCCAGACGAGAATCTGCATAAGCTGGAGTTGCCATCCAAATCCCAAAATTCTCCCCAGCCAGTTTTAAAAGCACACAGCTCAGCTCAACCCCAGTCCGAGTTTGACAACACAATGGAGACGTTCTCTGTCCAGGCCGACAAACTCAAATATCAACCAAATAACATCAACGCTGTGCCTAAAGCCATTCCCGTCAGGTAAGTCATATTACTCTCCATGGGACTGCGTTGGCTTTGCAAAAGGGTTTGCCTCAATGCCTCCACTTAAAACAGTGGAGCTTGGGTAAATTTGACAGCTGAGAGAATCGCTGCACTTTGCCAGTTGTAAATTAAGCTTTTGTAAAACTTCACAACCCTTGGGGAGGGAGTATAGCCCCTTTGTAGACCACACACATTGAGTCCTGTTTAATCCAGTTTACCTGTGAGATCTCCTTACACAATATGTTTGGATGGCCTTCTGTCAGGGAAGCTTCAGCTGAGATTCCTGCATTGCAAGCGGCGGGACGAGGTGACTCTTGGCGTCCCTTCCATCTCTACAGTTCTATTAGATCTGCAGAACTGTCACTCCTGCAGTTGCCACATAATACTTGTTCCACATTTCTAGAAGTCAATCTTGGAGTGTGGCAGCACCCCCACTGCTGACCTCAGGCGGGCGACTGCATTGTATTCTTTTGGGCAGCTGCTGAAACCATTTTTCTCTAGGCAAGCCTGCCCAGATATGTAGGATGCTGACATGTGTTTCAATCTCTTTTTAGCTTATGGTTGATTTCATTTTTTAATCTTTTAAGCAGCTGGGTTTTGATTATCTTATTGTTTCATTCTTTTTGAAAACTGCTTTGAGGTGTTCCCCCCCCCTTACAATCAAGTGGTATATACATTTTATTAAACAAACATATAAATAAATAAGACACACCCAGCATCTGTATTTGAAATCTTTTCAAGCAGTAGACCTGCAAAAGATCCACTACTTGAGATCCTGGAGGAAGTAGCTAGATGACATACATACCATTTTTTGCAGTGCGGCATGATTTAATTTTATTTAAAAAGGAAGAATCCTATGGCCATATGGGCCCTCCTGTTTTTTCAAGGTGTGGATTGTCTGAAAGTACATTTAGGCAGACATAGGCTATTTATATTTTCTTGGACTACTAGTGATTGACAAGCAAGGGAAACAAGGATGTTAACTCTTCATTATTTCATTTGGCAAGTTTCTATGAGAACTCCTTAGCCTACTTACATGGAAAATATTGCAATTCTTTTGTCTTCTCCAGCTGCATTTAATGTTACATATTATTTTAGTGCTTTTTTGTTTTTGCATGCAAATTCTGCCCTTCTCCCCCTCCCCCCGTTATAGTTTACAAATTTAAATAATAAAAAAATCCCCAGCTTTTGTAGTATATTGCATAGCACAGTGGTACCTTGCAAGACGAAATTAATTCGTTCCGCAAGTTTTGTCGTCTTGCGATTTTTCCGTCTTGCGAAGCACGGTTTCCCACAGGAATGCATTGAAAATCAATCAATGCGTTCCTATGGAAACCGACTTCAGACCAGGTCCGGGGACAGTCTGTCCCCCGACCTCTTCTGAAGGCTGGGGGGGGACAAGGGCTTTTCTTCCCACCCCCAGCAATTTAATAAACCCCGGGACAGCGGAGACTTCTCCGCTGTCCCGGGGCGATTTTAAAATGCTGGCGGGCGGGAGCGAAGCCTCCGCTGCCGCCCGCCAGCATTTTAAAAAACCCCGGGACAGCGGAGGACTTCTCCGCTGTCCCGGGGCGATTTAAAAGCCCCCGGGAAGGCAGGCAGGGGGGAGCAAAGACTTTTGCCCCCCGCCGGCCTTCAGAAGAGGTCCTGGACCTCTTCTGAAGGCCGGCGGGGGGCGAAAGTCTTTGCTTCCCCCCGCCTGCCTTCAAAAGCCGTCTGGGATAGCGGAGAAACGAAGGCTGGTGGCGGGAGGAGGTCTCTCCGCCCCGCCGCCAGCCTTCGGAGGAGGTCCGAGGACAGTGGGGAAGACGCGCTGCGCTTCCCCGCTGTCCCGGAGATTTCCCTATGGGCTTTCGTCTTGCGAAGGAAGCCCATAGGGAAATTCGTTTTGCGAAGCGCCTCCAAAACGGAAAGCCCTTTCGTCTAGCGGGTTTTCCGTCTTGCGAGGCGTTCGTCTTGCGGGGCACCACTGTATGATTCTAAACTCTTCTGCTTGTTCCTGTGCTTGCTCTAACCAGCTGCTCAATGAAGTCGTTTCCTCATGGAGGAGGAGGAAAGGGTGGAGCTGGTTCATGCGTCCTCATAATGGCTGCTCTTAGAATGAGCTGGTTGGAAGAAGGGGAGATGGGCAGGCTGGCTGGGCAGGCTCCAAAGAAGCACCATTGTTTCCTCTAGCCCTGAAGTTACAAATGCACTATCACCTCTCTCCTTCGTGACAGCAGGAATAATTCTCTGTGTCTGATTTTAGTCCCTCTGCTTTGGAAGATGACGATGAAGAGGATGGACACACTGTAGTAGCCACAGCAAGGGGAGTTTTTAACAGCAACGGTGGCGTGCTCAGCTCCATAGAGACTGGCGTTAGCATTATTATACCACAAGGAGCCATTCCAGAGGGGATAGAGCAAGAGATCTATTTCAAGGTCTGCCGAGATAACAGTATCCTCCCTCCTTTAGACAAAGAGAAAGGTGAGCGCCTTCATAATATTCACATCTTCTTCGGTGCCTTTTTCAGTTCCACGTTACCCATGTAAAAAAAGATTCTGCCAATCTGTTGGTTTTTTAAGAGGAGGAAGGGAAAATGGAAAGTAGTTCTTTCTCAGGATCCAGGAGGACAGCTGGAAACCCCATGGGAAGACACCCCCCTTCCGCTTTCTCTGGTGGTGGGAGTGAGGACTCAGAAAGGAACATTTCGGAGTGGAGACAGGGCTTTGCCCTTTCCTTTTTTGCTAGTAGTGAAGATCCTCTCGGAAAACTCAGAAAATGTCAAACAACTTGACTTCCAACTTAGCAGGCAAAACAACTAACTTGGAAGATGATGGGCTCTCCTTCATTTGGGGTTTTTACACAGAGGTTTCCTGGGGAGGCTTCAGCTGTGATTCCTGCACTGCAGGGGGCTGGGCGAGGGACCCTTGGCGCTCCTTTCCAACTCTATGGTGCTAGCAGAAGAGTGAAGGGAAGGTCAAGGGAGGGGGAATCACAAGTGGCCGATTTTAAACAAATTGGTTCAAACTTCCTAAACTAACAGGCAGATCAGAGTGTGACCATTTTTCATACTTCTCTGACTTTGGTGATATAGGTATGGATTCACAAGTTCCAAAATGTGCATTTTAGGTAAAATGCACCTGACATATGTATGTTTTGGGTTGTATCCAATGTAGCACTGAATTAAAGTCACTTGGTCATATATTTGAGTTTCTGAATTCATCCTTGCAGCTGCACTTGAGGAGTGGGGAGCATGCAAGCTCAAGTCTCACATAAACTCATCCTTGTAATGTCCAAGCTATGTCCAAACCAACATACTGTGTGTGTTCAACGTGTTTGTCTCTAATGTCAAGGCGGAATGTGACGGGGGAACTTGCCTCCTAGATATGTTGCAGTGCCATAACCCTGCAACTTATGCAGAGGTTACTTTCCAGGGATTATGCCTACAGCCCAAATTGTGTCTAGTCAAAATACATTGGGTTGAATGGCGGGTAGGATTGACAAAGTCTTTTTTCCCAGCTGCCCGCCCCCTTTCTGCCCCCTTTGTTTGTCTGTTTGCCAAGTGCATAAAGCTAAATGTGCACAAGTTCAGTGCATGCAAGTTGTGGGATTACTGCATGACTTAGAAGTGTGCAAGTGGGCACTCTGCCTGGAGTTTCCCTGATCACCTCTTTGAGCTTACTTCAACAAAGAGTTGCCCTTGTAGAAAGGTTGCCATCCTTTGCAGTCTGCCGTTATGCTATATTCTCAAGCAGTCTTCCCTTAAAGCTTCAGGGGCTGCTGGGTGACTCACCAGCTCCACCTGTCATGGCCACTCAGGGAGGCCAGGAGGTGATCCCAAGAGTATCTGGAGGGCCACAGTTCACACCTCTGGTGCAGATAGCATTAAGTACAAGAAGTGTTATCTCTTGCAAAACTTGTCCTTTTTGTCTGTTTACCACAGGTGAAACGCTGCTCAGCCCTTTGGTCATGTGTGGGCCCCATGGACTAAAATTCCTGAAGCCTGTGGAGCTGCGCTTGCCACATTGTGCGTCTATGACCCCTGATGGTTGGTCTTTTGCTCTAAAATCCTCCGACTCCTCGTCGGGTATGCTGTCCTCCCTCTGTCCTTTTGGGGCTTTTGGGTGCTATCGTATAATTTAAAACTCGCCTGACTGAAGGTGACACTGTGTAATATAAAGATATTACTAAATCACTGTATTTGTGTCAGCTCTCCATTTCATTTTCATTACAAGTGTCTTTCTCACACTTAACTCATGATGCAAAATCATTGCAGAAAATCATGATTGATAAACCAGAATGGCAAGGTAGATAATATAATACTATACTATTGTCATTGGTCCATTCAGTAGTAGAATTATCTACCTTGTTTCCTATCTCTCACACTCTTCCTGTCTTTCTATCTCTTCCTGTCCTCCTTTCTCTCTCTCTCAAGGACTAATACTGCTGCAAAACACTCTTAAGATGAGAAAGTCACACTTTCCTTTATTTTTTGGGTAAATTGCCTAAGGAATTCTGATTGGGCTTTGTAACCACATATTCACATCTTTTTTCCTTTATTGACCATAGAATGCTGTAGCAGCCCCAGTATACTGAACTTGAAGCATTAATATTTTGGATAAGCTTCCTAATGCAACAGCTGCTTATGTATAAATTTGACCTTTCCAAGAGACGGAAGCCTTTCTTTGCAGAATAAGCCCATGCAAGCTCAGTGCCAACACATTTGGGCTCTCTTCTAAATTCTGAAATGTTATGGAGAGGTGGTCCTCTATTTCCCCCCACCCTGTGGTTGAGACACATGGATATATCCCTGCACTGCCCCTTTTCCCATAGCTATGACAGCTGCCCCCTTCACTGAAGGGCGGGGGAAGCATTGCTGGTTTTAAAGCCTAGTGACAAGGATAAAATTTCGTGAAGTGGCTGCAAAGTCACAGCCTTGAGTGAAAAATGAGTGTCTTCTGCATATTAGACAAAAAGAAATGTCTTAAAGGGGGGGCGCGTTCTCAGCCACATAACAAATAACCTCTTTGACACCCTTAAATGTATACATATCTGTATATGGTATATAAAAGCAATGTACTTATGTGTACAGTATTTAAAAATGTATTCATATTTGTCACTGATGTATCTATCCTTTTCAATGCCACTGTGTCAATGCGCCAAAAAAAAAAAAGTTAGGACACCAGACGCTTCTCTGATGGGGGGGGGGGATCCAATTACCTAGAGAAATCTTGGCCGGTTGACTATTGCTGGTATGCTATGCATGTGTTGCATGCAGCTGTTTAACTGTGTAAGCAAAAGCGGAAAGTGCTAAAAATGGACAGTTTCAAGTAATAAGGATCCAAAGTTTTGCCATTTATAATCCATATAATTCCTTCAAACCGTGCTTTTCAGTCATTATTTTGTAACAGATGAACCTTATCATGAATTTACTTGAAATGAAAAGAAAGAGGGGAATATGTTGGTTCTTCCAAGTAACCTCTGCTATTGTGCTAAAGATCTTCTTCCTTTCCAAGTTAGAGTCTTATTTGTGTGTGCTCATTCAGCAGGTGTGTGTGTGTGTGTTAAGGGGGTCACCTCTTTCTGTCTGTATCGGAGCTATACATCCCTTGCAGCTAACATAGTTAAATGTGGTGTTATATCAGTAATCTTGCTCCTTGAGACAAACTTCACAATTGGCCAACTCTGTCTTCTGATGTGTAAGCCATACTGTGTCTTAAATAAATACTTGTTTTCTCTCTTTTTCTAAAAACAAAACAAAAAAAAACTTAATTGGTTATGGGATCTCTTTCTCGCTCTTTCTTTCTCTTAAGCTTTTCCTAACATGTTTTCCATTTTCTGTCCTTTGAAAAGAACATTTGATTATACATACTAACCTCTTCTGCAACACATTTTTTACAAAAAAAAATCAAACGTACTGGCACATTATGCTAAAATATGTTACCTTGTTTCATCTCATTTCATGGAGTAGAGGGGGCAGCTAACTCCCAATTTAAATGGGCCAGAGCACAAAAAGTTAATTCCTGAGTACTTAGTATATTAAGCTGTTTTAGGTTGAGCCTTACTGTAACACTGCCACAAACTAGCCTCACATTTTTCCAAGTCGCCGGCACAAAATTTTGGCGTTTGCATTTTCAAACTATGGTTTCACTGTATGTAGTAAACAAACTATGTGAATATAGTTTATCACCTGTCAGGCTATACCAGCCTTCCCCAACCTGGTGCCCTCCAGGTGATCCAGTCTACAACTCGCATCAGCCCAAGCCAGCCAGCAGAGCTCTGCATCATCTGAAGGGCAGGTGGGAAGGTTGGACCATATTTCTGTATTACAACAAAGAAAAGGTCCTCTTTACTGACAGTTTTAAATCTAGCTTACACATAACAGTTTCTCCCAAAGACATTCCACTTGAAGTGTGTTGTTTATATTTAAAAGGACTGAATTTTTATTTTTGTATTAATGAAATGCCACTGTGTTAACTGGGACAACTCCACTGGCTGGCATAACTTAAAATGCAAACCAGGTCATTGAGTATGCCAACAAATTCTCAGTGAATCATACTTCTCTAGGCTCCACATCAGGTGTTGTCTCCCTTCCAGCACATTGGTCATTGTGTGCATCATGTTCGTTTCCATGGGTTACTCAACAGAACTGTGGGACTTATTTGTCTTCTGTAGGTCTGCATAACTTATATATGTGATCTGGAGTATTAATATCTAGCCTTGTTTAATACCAAAAGATCGCAAGAGCTTCACTGTGAGAGTGTGTCTTGATGCGCATATATTGATTAAAAAAGCAGTCTCCACCCACAAAATTTCACACAGCGATTGTATTGAACTACAGGTGATCAATAATACCTCCACATGGAATGATGTGGTAATTAAGGAAAAGTTGAATTAATTTTCTCAGGATTCTAGTTTATATAGGTGGAATGATAACTTCATGTATCCTGTTTCTCTTTGCCCAGAAGTAGATCCTGCTTTGTTCAGTGGGGTCTACTTTCATGTAAACACACACAAGGACTGCAGGCGTAGACTTGGAGTGTACAGTTCAACGTGGCCCATAAGATGCCTCCTTTACCCACCTCAGATTTGCAATAAACCTTACCTCCTCTGCCCCCCCCCCCCCCGGCAAGAGAAGTTCGCTTTTTAAATTAGTGCTGTACTTGCAACCCCTAAATGAGGTCACCTATGTTGAAGACTGCACAGGCAGCCTTAAAGGGACAGGAAGCCAGGAGGAGGAACCTGTGACCCTCCAGCCCCCATCCTCCCCAGCCAGCCTGGCCCAGTGACCAGGGGTGATGAGAGTTGTGGCCTAAAGCCTATATGGAGGCAACTGTTTGGGGAAGGCTGAGCTATTGCACCATGGCAGAGCAGTTTGCCTGTAGCTAGCCTGCTCCACAGTGGACTTGAAACAGTTTCTCCCCACCCCCCATGACAGTTGTTGGAGTTTTTTGTGTTTGCCCTATGATGAAATTTAAGGTGTAGCTAGGTTGTCCGAAAGCTTCCCCTGCAGGTGCTGAAGTCCAAAACCGGTGCTTTGGGTATTCTTTAAGAGTATTCACATGGTGGACTTGGTTCATGTAGCCTAGTTGCCCTTGAATCCCATAGTTTGTGACATGGAAGTCTCAGGGTTTGATAGTCATCCAAAATCCTCCTTTCACCATTCTGTTTATGAATCAATATTATTATTAGATTCTCAGCCTCTATGCCTTAACAAAGCTCTTTCTGGTTACCAGGAGAGGAAAAAATCATACTATGTGGGTCTGCAGGGTGAGTTCAGAACAGGAACTTACATTAATGGCCATCTACCATGGGCATAATTCCTTGGAGATGTTCAATTAAGAAAACGTTTAGAGCAGCTAAATTAAAAGTGTGGGTTCCTGTATAAAACGCGAGGCGATCTATACATCAAAACATATTCTGGTTAGCTTTAGAGGTATTGTTATCCAAGATGTTCCACCTTTTGATGATGGATACTAAACTACCACATTGTTTTCCTCCCACAGGTGATCCCAAAACCTGGCAGAACAAGTCTCTTCCTGGGGATCCAAACTATCTTGTTGGAGCAAATTGTGTTTCGGTTCTGATAGATCACTTCTAACCCTTACGTTAGCAGACCAAACCAAGATTTTAAAAGCAAAGCAAAACAAAAACACCTTGCCTAGAAACTGAACCAATCTTTTTTCAAGTATTAAGAGTTATCTTAGTGTTAAGCAATCTTTGCTTTGACTAACAATGGATAATGAGTACGTTCCTGAACCATGGTCAGGGTTTATGCTATTAAGCAGCAGGGCAGATCAGCCAGGGACCAAGGCAAGGTTCTTATGGGTTCCCTCTGGCTTTCCTTAACTGGACACTTCTAAGGCATCATAGCTTAAAACTCACTGAACTACCACTGAAGCAATGCAATTCATTATTATTTTCAGATGGCATTTAGTTAGCGTTCCACTACTGAATTAGGTCTTTTTTCTTTCTAAAGCTTTTTCCCCCTCTCTCTCTTTTTTATATAAACAAAACACTTTAATATGTGTGTTCAGAATATGCAAAGACTCTTTTTCTTTTTTAAAAAACAAGCAACTTTTTTGATGCATTTTGCCCACAAAGTGGAAATTAAAAAATTGGCCAGCACAATATAGAAAATCCCCCCTCTGTTGAGAAGGGAGAGTTACATGCACGTCTACTTTGATTGTACATGAAACACACTTTTTCCCCCTTTTGTTATGGGGAAAGAGCGCATGTGGTATGACTATGGTTCATTTGCCTCTGTGGATCTGTAAATTAACCACATCTACAACAGACACGTTAACCAGCAGCCTTACCCTCATGTTTTTACTAGTCTTAGCTGTCATCGTAGTTCTCCGTACTACTAAGTTTGTATGGCTTCTGTGCTTACTTAGATTAATACATATTGAGAGGGGTTGAAAAATTAATTCATTTTGTGAACTTGCTGGTTTAGAGAAAGAGGGAGAGAACTAGGCACACTTGTTTTTGTGTGGATCAACCAGAGGGGAAACCTGAAGAACATGGTGGTATGTTTTCTGCTATGCATTTTGAAAATTTATAGATGTTATAGATTGCTTGTATATAACTCGTGCAGACCACTTTTGTTCTTGGTTTGTAAATTAACTTTTATAAGCTTTACCTTTTTTATATATATAAATATATATAAAAATACAAAACAAACGTTTCTTAATATCTTTGTATTCTCATACCTTTTGAGCCTTGAACTTTGACATCTTGCAGCAATAAAGCAGCATTTCTACAGTACGTGAAAACAAGGACTTTTTAAAAAAAGAAAATGCACAAAGTTATTACCTTTTTAAGTGCTGCATTTAAAGACTAACTCAGAAGTCTATAGTTTGATTACATTCTTGGAGAATAAAAGTATCCCTACTGTAATTTGTGATAAGGATGCTGTACTATGTGCCCTGAAATGTATTTTTTTACTAATAGACAATTTATTATGGCACATCAGCACTATCTCTGTTTAGATAATATTCCACTGCATTCTGTTAATCAGTTATTTAGCTATTCAGGTGTGGCTGATTTTTTTCTTTCTTTGCCGTTATTAAAAATTACACATTTCTAAGTATACAGAATAAAAACTGTTTTTAAAATAATAGAATTCTAGAATCTTCTTGTTTCTGTCTGAAATGCATGCATGTGCACACCTGAAGATTTGGAGGTCCTGATTCACTAAACTTTTACCTTGCATCATGAATACAGTTTTATTCAGTTCAAGACACATTAGAGTACAAGGCTTAATGCACAGTTGGAGTGAACCTGACTGAGCTGTTAAGGCTCTCCTAAAAAATAGTGTTTTGTTTTTGTTTTTTAAAAAAGATGTATCTAGCAATGAGACTTCTTATATTTATCACATTAAAAATCCGCTTAGTCCAAGCATGTTTGCACACTGTCATGTCTATCTAAAATTACAAATTTTATTCTTGTACTAAGATGTGAAAAGTGTTTTTTAAAGGGAAGAAACAGAAGCAATTAGGTAAGTGAAACATGTTTTCCAAGTAAGAGATAACTTGCTCTACCCAATAGGTAGTCCTTTTGCAGTTTCCCTCCCTGCTCTATCCAGACATTGCACTATATCATCTATCTATCATCTATCTATATCATTCATTCATTCATTCATTCATTATTCATTTATTGAAGAGGAAATATCACAAGGAGAAGCTGGTCCTTGTGCATGTGTTTCTGATTTGTCAGCTGTGGGCAAATATATACAGAACTCTGAGATAAGAGGATGACAGGAAACTCCACAGGCAATGCCGGCTGCCATGCCTAGAGAAGCACTTACTTTTCTGGGAGTTCCCAACATTTACCAGTCAATTACTTTTGTCGGGATTCTGCATCCTAAGCAGTACTTTGTGCGCGCACACACTAGTTTCCTTTGCAGCAGCCAGCTGCCTTTCCTTTTTCATGTGGTGTTGCAGTACAGGTTAGTACTCGTCCCCTTTCTGGGGCAAGCCAAGTTTATATGATCAGTAGAATCAAGTGGTGCAACTCTGGCTAGACGTACCTTCAGAACGTTGGGGGTTATTTCATATTTGACTGCTGCCATTTGTAATGAAACTTCTTCATGACATTGCATTTTTTTTTTCTATGAGGGGGAAGTTTTTGAATGAAAGCAAGTCCAAACATGCAGTCCTTAATGCGAAGTCTAATGAAAGAACTGCATGATCTGATTCTGCTGATCATGTAGTTTGGCTTTGGGGTATTTGTCAAAATGATAGAACATAAGTGCCATATCTAAGTGATATAACTTACGGGGACAGAGTTCATGGATCATACCAGGGATTTTGTCTTGTTGGGCTGTTGGAGTGACTGGTCCATTTCAGGGTTCAGAATAGGCCCACCAACAGCTATGTCAGAACTCTTGAACAGGGCTATGAGTTATTTCTGCAGTGGACCGCTCTGCAATAATAGGGCAAATACCGACTTCTACCCAGCATGTAAAAGTGCAAAGGATAGCAGACACAGTGCTGTCTACCTTGGGATTGCACTGGTGTTTAGTAAATGGATGCATGAATAAGGCAGTTCATTCTTCAAGAAGGTGAAGTCGTGTCAATGTGAAATACATTTTAAGTGCCATACTTTCAGCAGCCCACTACCAAAAGATGTAACTGAGGGGCAGAGCTTACCAAACATTAAAAGACGAGAGATACTTTGGCTGCAGACTCATCACTGATTAAAACATTTACTAATCTACAAAGGAGAAGCCTGTACCTAGTGCCTTTAGAACATGTGGCTGACATAAAGACTTATACGCACAATCAGACTGTGGTAAACCTACCCTCAGGAGTGTAAAGCTGAAAAAAATGACCATTCATTCATTGCTGTCCATCTCAGTTGATTTTTGTATTGCTGTGGTTATTGGGACTCCAGGTATCATCTGATTGTGAATAAAAAGTGAATATATGTGCATATCGTAGTCAATGACAGATGATCACCATGAGAAGTCAGTGTTCCAAAAGGAGTGAACCCTTGTTGCCATTTGACTAGTCTGTTTTCGGGTGCCACCTTTTGCTCCAAAGCATTTTAAAAACAGCTAAAAATTGGTATTGCATTGCAAATGTAGGCATAATGGATTTCCAAGATGTTGTAAGTCAGGATTTGGTTTGATCACTACGATGGAGCAGCAACGGAGGAAACTCCACCAAGAGCTGCACCGAGGGCAACAGGAGAAAGGGTCTCCTCTGCTGAGAATTTTGATAGACAGGAACGCGATGCTAAAAGTGCCCATGTTGGTTGTAACTACAGAAGGGCAGCTACTGGAAGCATGGAGATGTGTGATGTCAGACTTTCCCTTAGTCAATAGGAAAGGAGTGCAGGAAAATTCACCACAAGGTAAGTATACGTTCTCTCATGAAAACATGAAATGAGACTTCTAATGTTGAAAACTCGAGCCTGGAAAATACAGTGGTACCTCGGGTTAAGTACTTAATTCGTTCCGGAGGTCCATTCTTAACCTGAAACTGTTCTGAACCTGAAGCACCACTTTCGCTAATGGGGTCTCCTGCTGCTGCTGTGCCGCCGGAGCACGGTTTCTGTTCTCATCCTGAAGCAAAGTTCTTAACCCGAGGTACTATTTCTGGGTTAGCGGAATCTGTAACCTAAAGCGTATGGAACCAGAGGTACCACTGTACTGTGACATCAAGAGATCCTAGTGACATATCTCAGGGTGCCAATATCACAGTGTATCAGATATCGTGATCTTTGCAACAGTGATCCTCAGAACAGATCCTCAGAACAGCAGCAACCTCTGTGTGTGGGTCTTTACTACATAGACGTCTGTGTTTTCAGGGACTGGGTGTGAGCAGGAGGCTTTGAGGACATGGCAACATTTCTTACAATATTTTCTGCTGTAAGGCAGTCAAAATTGACTTGCTGTGTTTTTTTTAAAAAGAAAACATACCATGAAACTTCTATGAAAAGCTGCTAAGTTACCCCACTTTTTTTAAAATAAATGAACAGCTAGTTTCAGATGTTTGGTGGATCAGGAATGTGTTGTAGGTTTGCAGAGTCTCACTCCCAATCAGCACACTTGCGTTCCAATTTCCTTCCTCCATTTCTGGGTTCCCCTAACCAGAATTTGTCATTCTGTTTCAAATTGGGCAATCTATTCTTGGAGCTAACCTTCAAACTGTGAGTTTGAAGAACTCTGCAGACCATGATTTTGGCAATTAACCACAGTTATTTGGGCATGTCAGCAAAGGTAAGGTTAAGGAAAAACTCAGAATGTACATAAGTCTTTAAGGTGTTCATGATCCTGGAAACCATGGTGTTAATTAAACCAAAGTGAGAGGATTTGATTAAATAACATTGCTGTCTGACCCCCAAATAGTTTGGACTTTTCACTTTGCCCAAATTTTCAACCATTTAGTGGTGATTAGACCACTAATAGTTGATAGTTGAAATCTTCACATAAGAAGCAATGGTGTGTCTGAAAAGTGAGTGCATTCTGGATCCGCAGGATATCAGTAGGATTGATCCTACATTTAAATAAACCACCTGGTTGTGTCCTAAAGAAATGTGTAGCAGTATACATCTTAAAAGAAAATTTACTCCTTCCCAAAGATTTAACATTATGATGTAACAGACCTAGAAGATGGGTGTTTACAGTGCATCTACTGCACAGCAGTATGGGATAAGAGCTGCACTACAAAGATTGTGCAGGCTGCTGAAATCTTTTTTTTTATTTTTATAATCATATTTATTAAAATTTTCAGAATACACAAAAAATAAAAATAAAAAATAAAAATAAAACAAAATTGAAATACTTTTAGAATCTAATTTTCATTGCCCACTTTCCAGGACTTCCCCCTCCCCCTCCCTACTGTATTCCCCTTTCATAATGTTGGTTCTACAAGCTCTCACTCCCAATTTAAACCTTAAATTATTTAGCCCCAAATTCCAATTTAAATTATACAATCATCATCTTTCCCTTAACAAAGAAAAAATATAATCAAAATTCTCTCCCCAAGGCCCCCTTGGTTTCATTCCACAAATTCCCTTTTTCATTTACTAATAACACCCCAGCATAATATAAAAAAAGATTCAAAAAAAAAATAGTTACACAGCCTTTGGATTCTGATTCTCCCCCCCCCCCAATCCCCGGTTCGCATTCCCCATGTCCATCAATCTGTCTGTCTGTTGTCTGCCTGGAAATCTTTAATCCATACACCAATCAGTTCCACCTTGCCAGTTTCTTTTCCTTTTTTCCCTTTTTAATTTAAATATTATTTTTGTAATGTCTGATTTCAAACGTCCAATCCAAAAACGACCCCAAAGGGGTTCCCCCCATTGTTCTGTTCCATGTTATTGTCAAGTTTCTTGTCCTGTTCTGCTGCTAAAACGTTCTAATTCAAAAATTTGATGCCTCTACAGGGGTTTGTTATTCAGGAACAAAAACTTACGTCCAGTCCCTTCCTTTCTTCAATAGAGAATTCTATTGTCTCCCTTAATGTAAACACCCCTGTAGACAAAATACTTTTTCAGTTTTGCAGCTTTCTCAGGAGATAGCAAGTCCTATACAGTTCCCAGAGTATTTTTCCGCTTGTAGTTCTTGTAATGTCCCGAAACTCCTCTAGGGGGGTTGCAGTAACTTTGTTTCCTCTTGTCCAAAAGTCCAATTGTTATTCCATATTTTCAACATTGTATCCAAATCGTAACCAATTGTAACGAAATTAACTAGCAAAGTCCTCATAGCAAAGTCCTCTTTACACTTTCCGACTTTGACAGCCACTTTGACAGCTGTCAAAGTCTGCTTCTCTTTTCCCCAGGCTCTCTCGCGGGTCGCCCCGGTTCCCGGGGGGGGGGTTACGTTTCCCTTCTCACCCCACTCTTCTCCTCCAGCACAATTCTTGTAATATCCCATCGTGAAATTCTTGGTTTTTATCCGAAATACGCTTCTCTTTGGACCTTGGTTACTCAGTCCTTGTTTTGAAATGCTTACAATAGGGAGGGGGGACTGACTTCCTTTTTAGATCCCCCCCCGCTCGTGCCGAATCCGAAAAAAATTTCCTTTTTTTCTCCTTTAAAACCCGGTTGCCAGATTACTCACGGGTTGTTGTTAAAAGTCCGAATTTTCAATGGAAGAAGTCGGCGCTC